ATATAATACATGTTTGTAAAACCATACATGTGTCAGTGTCCAAAATTATTATCACAATGTGAACCACCCAAATTTTGCCCTAAAATATTCCCCAAAAAAAGTCAAAACCTCCATAAGCACTCAGTGGTCTATTATTCATTTCACATCAAAGTCTCCTCCCTTAATTTCACTTAATTTGTATAATGGCATTTGCCTACTCATGAAATGACCTCAAGATAAAGTATACTCGGTCTTAAACTACTACACACACACATTATATATATATATATATATATATATATATATATATATATATATAGTGATCATTTATTAAGACCACAAGTAACCTAAGTTGAATATGTCCAATTAATTCCACCTTCCAACAGCTACCCAAAAAACACTCTACACATATAAAAAGGGTTTTTTGCAAAAACCACCCCTGTATAATCTCGAATTGCCGAAAAAGCACCCGTGTTAAAAAAATTAGCACATAACCCCCTGTGAAAATTAGTTAAAGACAAAAAGGACCCTGCGTGCTCAATGTGAGATGCACTCGCGGCTTGTGCGACTGGGAGTATGATTTTTGACCTAAAAAGACCCAAATACCCTAACTCAACATTTTCGAAAATTACAAATTTATCCAGGATTTTTCACATGCCTAAAATGAAGTTTTTAGAATTTTCGATTCAGTCCCTAACAATTTCAGAAAAGCCCTCTCTCCAAATTGCATAGGACCAAATTGCAATTTTCATAATTTCTTAAACCTAATCATCTCCCTCCTCCCTCTCCTTCTTCAGATCCACTCCTTTGATAAAAAAGAAAGGGGACAAAAATTCCAGGCCCCCCTCTCTCTCCAGAATTCCAAGCCATTTGCCAAAGAAGGAAAAACAAAAAAAAATGCTTTCTCCCTGAAACCCGGCGGAAGATGAAGGCACTTCACATTGAAGATTTGGCATATGAGAATTGGAAGAACTGCCCGTCCCTTCTTCGTTTCTCTAATGGTGGATCTGAATTAAAAATATTTTGAAGTAATTGTTTGAGGTGGGGCGGCGGGTGTGTTGGCAGTGGTGGTGCGACGGTGGAGGGCTGGATGGAAGAAAAGGAAGATGATGCCATGCCATGAGTTCAGCCCCTGTGCGTGATGAATTTTTTGTTCTTTTTTCATTTTTTTTTATTATTTTATTTTATGCATTTTATTTATTTAAAATTAAAATATTATTAAAAATTACCAGGGTTAGTTTAGTAATTTTATCTAACTTAGCAGCCAATTTCAGAAAAAGGGGCGATGTTCTCTATCAAATAAAACATAGGGGGGTATTTGCTAATTTTTATAACATGAGGACTTTTTTGGCTATTCAAGATTACACAGGGAGTTATGTGCAATTAGCTCCATATAAAAACCACACAATTCTTTTCATTTTTCGACACAATTGCATCTTTTCTTCTTCTTCAAGAATTCAAATACTTATTGATAGTATATACTTTATAGCCCAAAAAACAAAATTACATAGGGAAAATGGTACGGCCCATCGGAATCGTCCATGTGGGCGAAAGCATCTCCCCAATCCCACTTGCAATAGGCCTCTTCGTTTCGGTAACTCTCCTCGTAGGCCTATGTGCAAAACATGCAAGAAAGTACGCCTCCAAAACGAGCGATCCAAACACGGCCTTCAAGTCGTCACCACTACCATCCCCTAAGCAGCTTATAGCAACTATAAGCCACAAGGCGTCGATGTTGCCTCGGATTCATGGGAATAAGCGATCGGCATCCGATGCCGGAGTTGTTGGCGGGAATAGCAAAAAGGGGAGTGGAGATAGTACGGATGGGCTGTGGCAGAAGGCATCTTGATGGGAGAGAGATGCCAGCCTCTGGAGTTCTCGGGTGTCATTTACTACGATTACTCCGGGAACAGAATCCCGGAGATGCCCAAATCACCTAGAGCCAGTTCAATGAGCCCTTTGAAAAATTTTAGTTTTCCCGCCGGGGGAAACGACAATTATCGTTACTAAGTGTATCACGATATGGGATTGGTATGATTACGTGATTCTTGATATAGATTTTTTTTTTTCAATCTTTTGTGTGATTTTTGTTTGTTTAATTTCGTAGTTTTCTTCAATAAACTAGAAGCCTATGTCATAGTAGTTGGTACCGAGTTTTCATCTAATTTTCATTTACACATCACAAATGCAGTAAATTACTATTATTTATGATGTTTAGGTGGTGTTTGCAAAAGCTTTTCTGAAAGTGATTCTGAGTTTTTTTTTTTTTGCTCGTAATCTGTTTTTAGGTGTTTGCAAAATTAAACTTTTGTTTTTGCTTTTTTTTAAATAATTTGCTTTGAGCTATTTTTTCAAAAGCATCCATAAACCTGCTTTTTCTATTTAAGTTCATTTTCCGGTATATTTACAAACACCCTAACTTTTAGAAATAAACACTCAAAATCGACTTAACTCACAATTACTAACTTCTTCTTTTAAATAAGCTTTCGCAAACACCACCTTAATCAAGTTGTTTAGTCAGCGATTATGATTAGTCAACCTAACTTGCAGCCGTTGAAAATATTATCGATTATATTATACCTGTAAGCGTTTACGAGTCGTTGTGTACAACAGATTTTTTGATCCTATAAACTCCATTACAAGTATACCTTCTCTTCTCAGATGATGATGAAAATGTACAACTACAAACTGGACATGTAACATTAAAAAAATAAAATAAAAGTAAAATAAAATAAAAAAAAAAAAAAAAACTCAATCTCCAGGTTTATTTCTCTTCTTTGTTTTGAGAACTAGCTCTGCTTCTTAGCTCTTCAAAGGCCTTCATGCTTTCCGCATCGAATCCTCCCGCAAACTATAAACAGTTTTCGATTCATTATACACTTGTTAAAACCTTCTTTATCGTATATATATATAAAGGGTGGGGGCAAAAATGGTATTTCGTACCTGATGCACTCGGAAAGCAAAGCGAACACCTTGTAAGAGCAAAAATTCTTTGTTTGGTTCCTTTTCAGGTTCATCCATCGCGTCAAGCTCCGTCGCCACACGCTTCATGTATGTCCGTGCCAGCTGTACCGATGAAAGCTTGATCTGCATATATGCATACGTGTTTCGTAAGGCCGTTTATTGAAATTAAAATATTAAAAAAAAATAGATCTTTCGAAAAATGAACGCCTTTTTATTACCTTGCCAACTACTCCGGAATCACTTAGCCAATCGACAGGGATGCCGAAATCCTTGTACCGGGAAACCGCCATGTCTCGTGTTCTTAGCAATGCGTATACACTCTGCTCCACCCTATTAAAAATCGGGTTTATTATTTATACGGAAATAAACATTAGGCATTAAATTATGAAAGCCGAGAAAATCGAGAATGCGAAAAAACTTACTTTTCGAGCAACTTATACATTTTCTTGAGAGCAGGCTCACAAGGAAGATTAAGGTCGTCGGTGAAAGTCGAAACTGTCTTCTCCAATTTCATCAAGTCCTGATATTCGAAAGCTGCTTCTCGTAATGCATCTGCTTTTCCCTCCGGCCAATCAAAATGCTTCAAAACAGCGCGTTCGTCGACCTAACAAAGACACGATCATCCATAAAAACTCGTAAGAAAATAGTGAAACAAAATCGCGGTTATTAAAAATCAAGATTCTTTATAATTTATTCAATAATAAATACGTACCAAGAAGGAGAGTTCCTCGTCGAGCCAGTTCACGAATGCGACCAAGTCCTCAACTTTAGTAAACGAGCACGCCCGTACTTCAGTTGCCAATGACTGGACAAATTCACCTTGAGTCTCCACGTCAGCTTTAACCTGTTTCCGAAAATATTCCATATTCATCCATTGTTTAATATATCGAATAATTAAAAAATAAAAAAAAATTATTGAAACAAATAAAATAAAACATACAGCTAACATGAACGAAGATTTATTCGCAATCTCTCCAATCATGTTGCTCCTAGCATCTGAAGTGTTCGAAGACGACGTAGTAACCAAAGCCATACTAGTATCCTTCTTCGCCTCCCTTTTCATCAACGACTGGTAGAATTCAACCAGCTCCGGCGCCCGGTGGACTTTGTCGCCGCCACCCCCTCTGCCGCCGCTTCCCGGCGGAGGCGGCGGCCGTGGCGGTCCGCCGCCTGGCGGCGGAGGCGGCGGCGGTGCACCCGGCGGCGGAGGCGGTGGTGGAGGACCTCCCGGAGCTCGTATTGTAGCATTCGAGTTCGCACCTGCCGGAGAATCTCCTGACGATTTAGGAGGCGGCCGTGGGACCCGCGGACCCCGTTTCTCCATCTGCGCGAGCTGCATTTTGCTAACTACCGGAGAGTCAGCTCTGCTTTCGGTCAACTGTTGTTCGGTTGACTCTCCACCGGCAGAGGCAGAGACGATAAGAGGCTTCTCTTTAATAAGAGCGAGTTTCGGCGGCAGAAACGCAGGTTTAGCGTCGAACCTAACCGCTCTCGCCTGTTGAGCCCTCTCCTTAATCTGCTTCTCTCTCTCCGTAGCGATCTTATGGCGGTCCTTATACGCGGGGTATTTTTCCTCAAGAACACCCTCGACCGATTTCGACATCAAGTGAAAAGACGAAGCAACCGAATTCAACGAATCGGGAGTAGGCAGTTTCGGAGTAACCGGCGAGTTGTTATTAGACTCGTCCATCTCAGCAGTACCGAACGAAGTGATCGCCACACCATCTCCCGCGTTTCTTATCATGAGTGCCTCGAGCGGGCCCCTCGGTTTCTGGCTTACGCTGCTCCGGCTAGGCGATCCTCCGGCGAAAGATCTCGCCGGAGAAGAAAAGGCACTCGAATCATCTCTACTTTTACCGCCCCATCTCTTCAGCTTTTGGATCAAACTCGGCTTCTTGCTTAAGGTACTGAATCTGCTAGTCGAACTGTCGATCGAAACATTATCGAAATCTTCACTGTCGACTGACGTATTATCGAAGTTGCTCTCCATATCTGTGTCGCCACCTCCTCCACGTTCGGACCCTGCGAACTCCAACATGAGCTGTTTGGCCCTTTCTTGACTTCTTGGACTTAAGCTTTTATTGAGATCTCGGGCCGATATTTTGCCCGACGGTGTTTGATAATTTCGAAGCTCGAATCTCAGGCAAGCATTCACCCAACGGAGGTACACGAGCTCTTCGACCTCGCTGAACCTGTTCATCTGTAGCCCTTCGACTTGTTTGACCAGGTCCTCGTTCGCGTGCCTCATTTCGTTGACTTCTTCTCTCACCTTCGCCACCATTTCTGTCTGAAGAAAACACAAAAAACCAACTCGAATCAGCTAGATTGGATGTCAAGGTGACAAAGTTATGCATGAATGAGTTATATTTTAAATTTTAGATGACTCAAAACATCAGAGTTGTGGGCAATGTTCATCGATTCATGCATATATTTCTCACCCGACATTCAATTTTGGTGATTCAAGTTGGATTAGAAAGCTAACTCAAAGAACAACAAATCCCTTTATTTTGTTTTTGCGAAATTCAGACTAGAAAATGGTCAAAATCACGTTTTGAAGTCAAAACGGTAGTATTAAAACAGAAACGACATTTCATCACATCCCATGCGAGAATTATTTTACCTCCGTCATGTTAGAAAGGGCTTTCACATTGGCTTCAGCGGCATCGAGTTTAACAACAAGTTCCCGTTTCTCGTAATGGAGTTCTTTGTTCTTTCGTTTGAGCTCCATCACCTCAACTTCCAATTCCTTCACAGCTTTGAGCTTCTTCTCCACGTCAGCATCTTTCGTAACAGCTTCCTGCTCCTTCGATTGGAGCCCGCTGACTGTTTGCTTGAGCAGCAAAAGTTGGCCTTTCGTCTGGTTCGCCTCGAGCTGAATCTGCTTCTGAAGATCTTTCATCTTCTTCTTCGCAATCTCGAGCTCTTTTCTGGCGGCAACTCCATGGGAGACCTCCTCTTGGAGCTTTTTCCGCTCGGCCTGCAACGAACTAATTGTGATGTTGAGCATGTCGATTTCGACTGTTTTGATCTTGAGCTGCTTCTGCAGCTCGGATATGCTCGATTCCTGCTCCTTCAGTCCGTAGTATTCTAGCAGCTCCCCCTCGAGCTTCACTTCTCTCTCCTCCAATTCTCTCACTAGATTCCGGAGCCGTTCGAGTTCGGTTGCGTTGATCGCCATCTCGTTCTCGTATAGCTTGTCCTTTTCGGATTTGGAATTTGCCGAGGTGTCGTATTTGTCTGTGGGGATCGGGAAATCGATTTCTCCCGAGAGAAGGCTTTCGAATTCCGGGAAGAGATCATCGTCATCATCTTCGATGTCGGATTGGGTGCTGCTCATTACAGTCGGATTTATTACGCTGTTTATTAATTTTACTTCTTCTTTTTCAACCTCTTCTTGTTCTTGTTCTTGTTCTTCTTTTAATTCTTCTTCTTCTTCTTCCTCTTCTTCTTCGGCCTGCAATTATTCGAACATGTTACGAAAAATCGGATATAGAAAACGATGAAAATGAAATGTAGAAAAACAGAAATACTTACAAGCATCTCTTTGAGGACATTATCCGAATACGTAACCTGCTCCTCGTCTTCCTCTTCATCCCAAGACTTGTCGACCGGCACTTCATCGTTTTCTAATGTAATAAGTCGAAGGAAAAATTTCATTACAGGTTCTTTTACTATTCTTTCCAACCAAAAAAAAACATGTTCCATACAAAATGAAATTCAAGTAAAGTATCATAAAGCATAAAGAAAGTACCTGATGGCGGCTTCTTGGTTAGAGAATCGGAATCGACGGGGTTCGGACTTTTGACATTAATCTGCTTAACTGCATAAGCTGCAATAGAAGCAGCAACAAGGAAGCCTAACCGAGCAATCATGTAAACACTATTGATCGAAAATACCGAATTCTCCAATCATACAAAAACTGCCTCCATTTCCCTTCATTAGACCAATCATCCACACAAAGGATGCAAAACCCCTGCCTTTTCGATTACTATATCGAAACGGGGATTTTTCGATATTGCAAGCAATCATCCACACAAAGGATGCAAAACCCCTGCCTTTTCGATTACTATATCGAAACGGGGATTTTTCGATATTGCAAGCATTATCTTGTCATGAGGTATACAGACCCTTGGCAGAAAAACAAATAAAACAGAAAAAAGAACTTTATTTTGTGCACAAAGTTTCTGATAAATACCATTTTCAGCACAACTGTCATGTATACATAAAGAGCCACAAGGGCCACTGGTTTCTAGTGGTCAGTTTTCTTCCAAAGAGGATTGAAATTTCTACATGATGTGAATTACCATTTGGTTAAAAACAAAAAATGCAACTAATTTGTATGTATCAAGACTAAAAAAGGTCGAGACCGCTGGTAAGCACCTTACACATAGAACTATTTGGTCGTGGGTTCGAGACACCAGAAGGGGAATTGGGCAACCAGTAACTATCCTCTTATTTAAAAAAAAAAAAAAAAAAAAAAGCACTAGTAAAAAATTAAGAAAAAAAAAAAGCCATCTTTGGGACTAACTGGTTGGAATATGACCACTCATTTAATCATAGGAACAGAACAAACTTACTGCTCAGAGGAAAACTGGTGAGAAGAGTTTTTTAACCGAAACAACTAACCCACATAAACAGTTTGGAACTTTAGAAAACAGTTGCAAGTGTTTGAGAAATGTGCCCAAATGAGGAAAGTTTTACTTTGTCATACAAAAAGGGTAGAGCAGCCTAATTTGCAGATTAATGAGAGGGATACAAAAATTGCATTCTTCATGTGATTTGGTTGGGAAAGAAATTTGAAGTAAGTAGGTTGGGAAAGGTCAATTTGGCATTTAATAAATGGACAATGCTTAAATGTAAGATACTGTTAGGGAGAAGAAGAAAGCAGATTAAGATAAGCCCACTTGAGTGGAGGTCCCTTTTGTCATTTTTGCTTCACATATGTGACAAAAAGATAAGGCTTTCTTCTATAAGTATTGCATTTGCATATGCACTATGAAAAAAGATTAACCATGGCCCTCCAAAAATACATTCTTGAAAATAAATACTACATAAATAAGAAAAGCAAAAAAAAAAAAATTATTATTATGAAAAAGTTCTCATGTTTGGGTACTTGCAATCGCCCCTCAACTATGAATTTTCTTACACGTTCACCCTTATAGTGTTAAATTCAACAGAATTTTTAAGATTTCGCGGAATCTTCTCTAGTTTGTACTCGTTTATGTAAATATGCACGAAAATATGCAGTTTCTGATGCACCACAATCTGATATTTATGAGCCAAGAAACACATGTTATGATCATCTTGTTTCAAAATGTGGAGTTCGAATGAGGTAAAACAGATACAAACTGGAGAATATTTCACATAATCTAGATGATTCCACTAAATGGACGTGTAAGGAACTCATAGTTGTAATTACCCAAACAGAAGTGTGAATTTCATAATTTAACATTACCTTAGAGGGGTTGCCGTAATTTACCCAAAAGATTAACCATGGCCCCCAAAAATACATTCTTGAAAATAAATACTATATACAAATTGGGGAAAAAAAAAAAAAAAAAACAGTATTTCACCGCCTGTTTGCAGCCCCAACCCTACCCACTTTTGGAGCAAGAAAAGCCATAAAATGCCAAGAATTGAGCATGTGTAAATTCCAAACAAAATGAACCCGGCAAATTCAAGACAGTGTGAGGAGTCCAACAACCAAGCAAGAATTTTTCGGTTCAAAAAAAAAAGATTGGTTAATTCGACAAAAAAACAAAAAGAAATTATTAAAAAAAAAAAAAAAGAAGATTAAGACACTTCTGGGCCACATTCATCTCCCACAGAGTATTATGATTATCCTCATACTTTGGCGCTTCTTGATTTGGGTCCCCGCCAAAAGTAACCCATATTTACACTTCTTCAAACCACTGCCGAAATTTACTACATTGATTTTGGCAATAATTAGGGTGTAACCGTAATTTTGTGCGCATAATACTTTCAAAAATCTCATCTTTTTTATTAGAGTAATTATTTACCACGTGAAATTCTATGGGGGTGCGAGTTTATATTAAAAATACAAGGGATTATATGCACAATTTTCAAACTACGGGGATTATATGTTTATATTGAAAATACAAGGAGTTGTGTACACAATTTTCAAATTACAGGGGTTGACTGTTATTTATCTTTTTTTTTATTACGAATTCTGAAGAAAAAAACATTTTTTCTGATTTTTATATTTTTCCTCTTAGAGGGTTGTTGGGTGCTAAATACCTAACACGCAAGTGCACGTATCGCAAACAAGTAGTAAAAGTGGACTCGTAAGAGTCGGATGTCGATCCCACAGGGAATACGTAAATTATCTAATCCTAAGTACCAAAGTCTAACAATTATGATTTTTATCCAGCCTACGCAAGGTTGTCAAATTAATCAACTAAATAAATTAAACTAATTATAAAAGCAAATAAACACGTGAAATATCAATAAAAACGGACCTAGGATTTTATCTTCCCCTATGCAAGAATTGCTCACCCAAAACCCCTCAATTATGAAATATATGATTCATGATTATTAACCTGAGACACTAATTTACTCATAACCCGTTGTCGCGTGTATTATGAGTCTATTATTCATAAACGATTCACTATATGTCTATGCAAACCAATTATAAATAAAGCAAGTCTCGTAAATGGCTACCTAAGGTGATATATGTATGTCTACGACACCACATGCAATTAACACACTCATCCGGTGAAAACTACTCGAAGGCTCTTATACTTACCGTCTAATTATCAAAATAGCTCTGTCGAGTCAATCCCAATAATCACAGATAAAGCACATAAATTGATCAAGTTCATGCACTAACAATCATAACAAGTATAAGAAATAATCATAAAATCATAATTGCATAATCTCAAGAAAAAGGGTTCGCAATCCCTACATAGGGTTCCAACAAAATCCTAGATTAAAAACTTAGCTAATCATAACGAAAAACATAATAAACGTAATAAAAGTCATAGATTAAGAAAAGATAGGTGAAAGAAGAATTATGATGAAGATTTGTCAATTCTCCGTCTTCGATTCTTCGTTCTCTCGCTCCTCTCCCTCCAAGGTTGTGTCAAAAGTCCCCCGTGATTCGTGCTTGGTTTGGGCTTAAATAGATGTCCCAACTTGGTAGATGATTCTAGGTTTCCTTGTGTGTTTAAAAGTCCAAAATTGCCTCCAACGTGATTTGGCACGGCCGCGCGAAAATCAGTGCAATTCTCGCACGGCCGCGCGAGAATCGCCGAACCTTCTGCCCAAATTCAGCATTTGGCACGGCCGTGCCAAAATAGGCTAATTTTGGCACGGCCGTGCGGGCCTGTTTTCAGCCAATTTCAGCATATTTTTGATTATTTCACTTTTGGCCCATATTTTCTCCAAATTTGCAGTTTTGACCTCAAACTTTTCCACTTCTTCAATTTATACCTAAAATACAATGAATCAACTTTTTAACCACCAATTATCGTTAACTCACACAAAAAGATCAAATAAAAAGATACGATAAAGTGTAAAAATATACACTTAACAGAGGGTGTTTGGCTAAGCTTATAAGATGTTAAAAAGAGCTTATAAGATGTTTTAGAGCTTATAAGCTCTTCCAAAGTGTTTGGTAATTTTTTTAAAAAGATCTTAATTTTTTTTAAAATAAGCTGTTGGAGAGCAAATAAGATCTTTTTAAATAAGTAACTCTACTCCACCTTTTTATTTAAGATCTTATAATGAATAAAAATAGGAAATAAGCTCATTATCTAAACACTCTAAAAATTATCCTAAAAATAAAATGTAACAGCTTATCAGCTCTAAAAACATCTTATCAGACGTAAGAGCTTATCAGCTATTTAAAATAAGTTTAGCCAAACACCCTCTAAATGGAAATTGGATACGTATAACTTTTGATTTTCGATCCAATATTGAGTTCCAAGGATTCTTTTTTTTTTTCAAAACTTGCACTTATAATATTAATTTGGTGCAATTTTTTTCATTCTGAATTTCAAAATTCGAAAATCGTAGAATTTTTTATTTTTTTTGAGGAACGAAATTATTATTAGTTTTTCACTTGGAGAAGAATTGAAGTTTTCTAAAGTTATACCCGAGTAAAAAATAACTGTAATTAGAATATAAAAAAAATCAGCAAATAATATGGCATTGACCTAATTGACTGTTTTAACGAGTGAACTTATGAAAATTGACTGAATAAAGTAGAATATTTTGTAACTAAAAAATTGTAGAAAACTTGGAAAAAACTGGAACTCAACTTACACAAGCCCCTCAGACTTACCAACTTTGTCGACCGCCAATCCAAACCTCGTTTCCGAGAGGAACAACAGCTCGGCAGTTTTGCTTTCGGAGAATATCTTCGCAACTTAATTGTCAAGGGCACCCCCGGGAAATACAATTCGTATATACAAAGTGCAGAGGTGTTAGCAAGTAGCAACAGAACATTCGGCTAAGTATCAGAAAAAACAAGTTCACAAAATCATTTATTATGTATAAATGTATCAAAAATTCATCGACCATCTTCTTTTTCAACGTGTATCCACTCCCAAAATACATCCGTTCACGCAGAATGCAAAAAAAAAAAAAAATCAAAACCGGATATATGTACAAATGTGACAGTATTTTTATTAGTAAGAAGAGTAACTGCTGTCCGAAAATACGATCTTAGAATTTGAAGTTTGTTGTTTCTGGGAAATTGCCGCTACTATAACAGCACTGCTCAACACAACCAAACAAAGCCCTAAACCATTCACAACGGCTGATTCCGGGCAACGTTTCAATACATTACCTTCGGTCTGCAAGAAAGTGAGCTTCTCAAGAAGCCCCGTCTCGGCTGTTACTATCGCCAGGCCGTAAGTGTACAATCCAAGGAAGATATGCCAAGGTAGTACCTTCAGCCTCGTCGTTCGTACCTCCACTTTGTGCCAAAAGCTCACAAACCCAAATACCCACTGCAATTCACAATTATGAAATTAAACCATTACCCTAACAAATGTGAATTACTTGTAGGGCTGCAATGCCATTGGTTGTTCTTGATTTCACTAATTACAGTTTGTTTAACTAATTTAACTTCAATTAGCAAAATAATTTGCAGATAATATAATGTCTAAGAAGCAATTAGAATAACAAACCTGAGCACCAAACATTGTAACACAGATGAGACCCATCCAAGAATGCAAACTGTAGAAATTAGCCACAACCCCATTTTGACCTTGGAACTTTGTCCAAATACCGAAAATGCCACAGCCCAAAGCCAAACCTTGGAGACAAAGGTGCACTAGTTTCTTCAAATTTCTTGATCCAGGCAACCATTTGTGCACTAAAATTGCTGCAAAACAAATAAAAAAAAACCCAAAAATATAAAACTAAATTAATAGTCAATTAAATTAAATTAAAATCTTGAGCCCTCAAATAAAATAATATATGAAATATAATTTCATATACATACCTTCTCCACTAACAACAATGAAACCAATCACCATTAGCAAAGGATGCAACACCTGCTCAACAAACAAAAATAGATCCATGCAAATGTAGACTATAAAATAAATAAATGAATAAAAATCAAGAAATGGGATTATGAAAATAATATATATTGTATTTACAGCAAAGATGAGGTCATCTTCCTCTTGAGAAATAAAGCTAGTCTTGAAATGAAGAGCCCATATGAGTACAAGAATTGCAACTATAAAAGCTGATAATCTTGCAAAAAACAGAGTACAAAATACCATAGCTTCAAACTCAACTCTCTCTTCTTTCAACTCTGTACTTTAGTAAAGAAAACAACCGACACAATAATATTAGATTTATAGATCTGACACACACCACCATTATATATGTATGTATGTATATATATTTGAAATATTATTACTTTATTTGAGTAGGGCAAGAATTGACATTATTTGTTGAGAAAAGCAATGGTCTTTCTTCTTGGGAACCTACTTTATTTGGACTTTTTTTATTATTTCTTTTTTGGTGTTATTTTATTGTAATAGTTAATTAGTCAAATGGGATTAAGCTGACACCATGTGTCATTTATTACCATTTAATGATTACTAAGCATAGATCGAGTTTGTGATACATGATTAATTAAGATAGCG